CTGGAGTGACAGCTTTTTCAAAGACTTGGGCAGGTAACACAGTCATAATGGTTTGTACTGTACCGATTATGGTGCGTCCTAGCAGGGCAATGTCGTGGTCAGTGGGGTTAGAGACATCAAGCATGATAACTGGAAAAACACCTTTCTTAACTCTGACTAGTGTGTCAAAGAACTCAAGTTCATCTGGCCACTGCGGGTTCAGGTCTGGCTGGAAAAGCATTGTCATGTCGTCTTTGAAAGGCTGGGAAGCTACACGGCACTCAATCTGAATGCTACTGTGTTTTGGTACAGCAACCTTCTCTTTCTTGGTTTTCACTGCGTATTCATCTGTCTGTTCTGCACTAACAGCCTGTATAAAAGCTCTTACCTTATTTTTTTGAGGCTTGGGAAAGCTTTTTTTTCACTGTACTGTACCGTTTAGTCTTTTCGGTCCCTTGTCAGGATGTGCTCAATAACATTGAAACCTATGATGGGATGAGATAGGTGACAGCCTTTCATTACCAGCACTGGGATGATCAGTTCCTTCGTTTGGTCAGTTTCAGAGGCTAGCCGAAAAGTTGTTTCAATCCATCCCAGGTACGGCATTTTCAGTCCCATTGCTGCCGTCAATCTTAGATCATCAGGTGAGTCCAGAATTTCTGAAAACATCCCTCAGCCTTGCGTTTGGAGAGGGATTCACGCTTTCCATCGTTCGTCAATGACCGAGACCCTGAGAGGCCTGGTTGTCCCATAGAGCTTGGAGGTGGTGGCGATTCAAGGTGACACTCAACAAGGCACTGTCTACCGACTAGCGAGGTGACCTTATGGGGGTGGCAACCTTGAGCTAGGGATGGTAAAGAGTGGGCATTTTCTGCTGTACAGGAAAGCTTTTCACAGGTAGAGTCAATTTTCAGGTGGTGCATTTTTTCCTGATGTTTAGTCCAATGTTGGTTTTGACATCCGTTGGAACAGTACAGTGTCTCTTTACATGATGAACATTGTTTCAGGTTCTCAAATGACTCTTCTCTGGCACAATTTGCACATTTCTGGACTTTTTTGGTAGCTACGGTTAACACTTGTCCCTCAGCGGTAACCCTTCCCCGTTTAAAGGGGCCTCTTTTGGGTGGTCGATCCCCCGGGTTTTTCCCCAACTTTAAAAAGGTTCCCACCCCCCCAAACGGAAGCAGTGTGGGGCAAAAAGGGGCTCTGTTTTGGGCCCGCTGGCAGAAAAAAAACACCTCCTTGGGCTTTTAGCAGACGGTTTTGGGTTCAGGGTTTTGGGGGCATATTGATATGCGGGGGGGGTTAGGGCTTGGGGGTGAAATGTAGTTGCTTTTAAAACTGGGCGGGAAAAAGGGGGCTTGGGGGTTTCCCCATCTGGGTCCTAATGGAAGTGGGGATGGGGGTAAGGCGTGACTTTAAACATGGCTTTTGTAATGTCTTCCTTTAAACTTAGCAATCTCTGCACGAGACCTTTTAGGGAAAACTTACCCCCCTTTTAAATTAGCTAAAAAACTGTTAAAAGTTTTTGGGGGGGTATCTTAGCTTTGGCTTCCTTCACAGTACACTTTGCAGATGGGGCCCTTTTAACGGGAATACACTTAAATTTTAGCAGGGTGTGGGGGTTAAAAAGCTTTTTTTTTTCGTTTCAACCCCCTTTGCAAAGCAATGTTAAACTTTTCCCAGCAAAACCCCCATTTGAGTTTTGCCTATCAAGGGAGGGGGAGGTTCATGTCTTCCTGATACTGTCACTTGGAACCCGTAAAAAAATGTGTGGAAAAAAACATGCGCTGGGCTGGGGAGGGTCATAATTTAAGCCCGATTCGGGCTCCGGGGAAACAAAAAAATACTTTCTGCCTCAAAACCAAAACGCGCAAAGGAAGCTTAGGGGTCCCTTGCTATGCCTTGGTTTTTTTTTGGGAAACTAGCTGGGTTTTTCAAACTTGTTCACCTTCTCTGGGAAATGGGGGAACCCCAGGATGCATCAATTGGGGGGAAGGTTTGCTGGGGTTTACCCTTTCCCAAATAGCGGTTTGTGTTAAACCCGGGGAAATAACCCTGAATGCGTCTCTATTTTAAACCCCCCGGATGCCCCTTTTAAGTCATTCTCAATCTGAGGGAAAGGGTGGAAAAAAAGTTTATTTTTTCTTTTTCTGGCCCCGGGTTCCCCCTATCTGACCAGAAATTTTTAACTCTTTGGCCCCGTAAGAGCCGGGCTGTGACGGGGGGGAAAAAGCTGCAGTCCCCTGAAGATGGCGGGGGGTTTTGGGGGTGGCGCAGAGAAACATGGGTTGGGGCGCAGTACTCTGCCTTTTAGTTTTCCCCCCCCTTGTTTTTTGGGGTTTTTTCAAATTCCAGTCCCCTTTTTCGTGAGGGTTCTGGTGGTTTTAAAACTTTGGGGGGTTTTTCCCTGTTTGAAACTAGCCACTGATCATCTCTTCTTTTTTTTCTTTTAAATAAAATTTGAAATTTCCGGGCCCTCTTCTAACTCTCAACTTCCCCTCTTTCAAGGAAAAAAAATAAAGTTTGGCTCAAATTTAATGGGGGATTTTTTTTGAACATTTCTCGGTTCCCCCTGTATGTAAGGAAAACACTAAATTGTTTAAAGCTTTTTGTAGGGTTTTCCCAATTCTCCTACTACCTCCCGTATTTTTTCCAAAAGGGGGTTTCATGTTGACAGGACAGGGGAACCTTTACGGGGCAGGGGTTTTACTTTTTGAAATTAGATGGGCCCTTTCTGTCTCTTTTATGGTCTTTCAAAGGCCCCAATTACAAATTTCTTAACCCCCCCAAATTCCCCTCCCCCGAACAGCAACACTTTTTTCAATGCAGCCCGCCTGGGGTTTTGTAGGGATTTTTCTGGGGGCGGAATTTCCCACAGGATGTGGAAGCCGGAACGAGCAGCAATTCAGCGGGGCCCCCAAAATTTCGCCCCGGAAAAAAGGGGGGAAAAAAATCACCCAACGGGACCAGTTTTTCCCACTGAAACTTTTTTTTGTAATTTTTTTTTTCAAAAAAACCACATTTTTCAGAACAAAAGGGTTACAGGGAACCCAAATTTTTTTAGGGTAAAAAAGCTTTTTCAAGTCAAAAACAGCATAAACGTAAATTTACTAAAACAATAAAAAATTTTTAATATAACCCGTCAAACCAAAGTAGCTTTAGCTCAGGAAACCCATAACTTTCATTTTTCAACCATGTAAAAAGTATTTGAAACCCTTAACAATAAAACCCCCAAAAATATTTTTATTTAAAAACGGGACATGTTTATTCAAAAATTGCATAAAATTGGGGCCCACTCTCAATACAAGTATTTTGCTGCAAACCCCAGCAAAGTTTCACTCACAAATTTCACTTTACCCTTTAAATCTAAATTACTCAAGATGTTTCTAAAACTTAAACCCTTTAAAATTCCCGGGCGGTTTGAAAATTATTTCCTTCAAATTAAATCGGGTTTTATATCAAAACGTCCTGAAAAAGGGGGGAGAAATAATCAAGAACGTGAGGGATTTTTCCTCAAATGAAACTTTTGTTTTAATGGAAAAAGAAACCCCGATTTTCCCCGAAAGTTTGGTTTGGGGGACCAGAGCAAAACCCCATCTCAGGCCCATAGATTTAAAAGGGATTTTTGTAATCACGATTTAACCCCTTTTACCCTTAAATTGGACCAAACAAAATAAATTTTCAATATAACGTTTTCAATCCTTTTTACAAATTTAATTTCCCCTTTTTCCAAAATTTAAAGGATTTTTTCCCCATTTAGAAATTTTAAACTTTTCTAAGAAAATAGAATGGATGCATGATCTTTTTTTAAACCCTTTGATATTTTTAAAATCCACTACCATGAACTTACCAAAACTTTTTTGTTAAAAGGTTGGGAAATGTCCTTTAACCTTTTCCAAAAACAAACCCCCATTTTAAAAAACAACCCCTATTTATGTTTATTTTTTTTCCCATTTTTTTCTTTTAAAATTTTTACATTGTTACAACACTGAATATACTAAAAGACATATGAAAAGTTTTTTATTTTTTGGGAAAATTCTATGGAATTTTCCTTTTTAATTTCTTTTTTTTTATTTTTACTTTTTTTTACTATCAAATTCACTTGCTTTGGAAAGTTAAAAACGTTTTTTCCCTGCCAAAAAAGGCCCCTTTAAAAGAATGAGAAGAGGGGAGAAGAGAAAGAAGAGAATTTAAATTTGGACCCTTTTTTAAAGGGGGGTGATGCCAAAACCAAGGGTTGGGCTCAGGGGGGTTTTGGGGGTGTTTAAGCCAAACCAAACAGGGGTTTTCCAGGGGCGTTTGGGGGGTGATGAAACCCGCAGGGGTTTTCAGGGGGCGTTTGGGGGTGATGCCCCCCCGAGGATTCTCAAGGGGGTGTGTTTAGGGTGTGATTTACCCGCAGGATATTCCCGGGTGCATTTTTGGGGGGTGATGCCACCACAGGTTGTTTTCAAGGGGGCGTTTGGGGGGTGAAAGCCATCCCCCAGGATATTCAGGGGTGGTTTGGGGTGTGGGTGCCATCCAGCAGGATTTTCTAAAGGGGGCGTTTTTGGGGGGGGTGATTTCCAACCCGAGGGAAAGTCTAGGTTTCGTTGGGGTTTGATTTTCATCCAAACAGGGTTTCAGGTGCGTTTGGGGGGGTTTATGTCATCCCCGCAGGATTTTCTCCGGGGAAAACTGGGGGTGTGATTCATCCCGGGAGGATGGGCTCAGGGGGCGTTTAGGGGTTTTGATGTTTATCCAGCAGGGGTCTCAGGGGGGTTTGGGGGTTTATGTCATCCCGGGGGGAAAGGAAAAGGGACCCAGATTCACCCTTCACACAAAACGTGCTTACCATTTGTTTTAGATGTCTCTAGTGTGTGTATGAACTACTGGGAGTATGAATATGAGTTTCAATTAAACCATAATACCTGTATTTAGAGAAAGATAAACAACACAACAAAAAGTAGCAGAAATGTACAACCCCATACTGCTGTATCTCTATAGGGATGAAATAATGAAAAAAAAAAAAAAAGGGTGGCCATGATCTTGAGATACTGTAACTCTGAAAGACCACACACCGTTCAGCATTCAGACTGTTGTTGTCTTGTCTCTATTCTGGAGCCGTAGAGAGGACAAGCTGAGGATCCCCAGTGGATGGTTGTGTCACCTGGCCCCTGAAATAGTCTCTCAGCTCTCCCCCGAAACAGAGGAGGACAAACTGCCTTTCTCTAAACAGTCAGACGTCTTTGCTTTTGGGTGAGTACCACTATGTTCCAAATGGCACCCTATTCCATATATAGTGTGCTACTTTTGACCAGGGCCTATATCGCTCTGGTAAAAGTAGTGTACTATAGGGAATAGGGTGCCATTTGGAACACACTCTAACGTGTCCCTTGCGACTTCTCGTTGTTGTAAGGAGTTGTTCAGGAGCCTCTTCACTCTCTGTCTAGTTTTCATTGGATTTTCAGGCCCGGTTGTATTGACTTGAATTAAATTGAATAAACTTTATCCCACTAGGGGAAATTGGGGTTGTCACTAGCAAGACAAATACTCTGATGTTTTTAATTTTTTATTCTTATCCCTCTGAACCCTCTTCCCTCTCTCCATCTTCCCTTTCATCTATCTTCCCTCTCTCCCATCTTCCCTCTCATTCATCTTCCCTTCATCCATATTCCCTCTCAGCCATCTTCCCTCTCAGCCATCTTCCCTCTCATCTATCTTCCCTCTCAGCCATCTTCCCTCTCAGCCATCTTCCCTCTCAGCCATTTTCCCTCTCATTCATTTTCCCTCTCAGCCCATCTTCCCTCTCATTCATCTTCCCTTTCATCCATCTTCCCCCTCAGCCATCTTCCCTCTCAGCCATCTTTTCCTCTCATTCATCTTCCCTCTCAGCCATCTTCCCTCTCATTCATCTTCCCTTTCATCCATCTTCCCTCTCAGCCATTTTCCCTCTCAGCCATCTCCCTCTCAGCCATCTTCCCTCTCATTCATCTTCCCTCTCAGCCATCTCCCTCTCATTCATCTTCCCTCTCAGCCATCTCCCCTCTCATCTATCTTCCCTCTCATCTATCTTCCCTCTCATCTATCTTCCCTCTCTTCCATCTTCCCTCTCATCTATCTTCCCTCTGCATCTTCCCTCTCACCCATCTTCCCTCTCTGCATCTTCCCTCTCTGCATCTTCCCTCTCTTTCCATCTTCCCTCTCTTTCCATCTTCCCTCTTTTTTCCATATTCCCTCTCTTCCATCTTCTTGCTCATCCATGTTTGGAATGGTTATAATAGAATGGTTATAATACAATGGTTATAATACAATGGTTATAATACAATGGTTATAATAGCTAAAATGGTTATAATAACCAAAAGCCAGAAGTTTTCCTGTCTACCTGACCTAACCATGAAAAACTCTAGTACCCTAGTTATAACACTCACCCTAGTTATAACACTGACCCTACTTATAACACAAGTTATAACACTGACCCTAGTTATAACACTGACCCTACTTATAACACTGACCCTACTTATAACACTGACCCTAGTTATAACACTGACCCTAGTTTAACACTGACCCTACTTATAACACAAGTTATAACACTGACCCTAGTTATAACACTCACCCTAGTTATAACACTCACCCTAGTTATAACACTGACTCTAGTTATAACACTGACCCTAGTTATAACACTAGTTATAACACTGACCCTAGTTATAACACTAGTTATAACACTGACCCTAGTTATAACACTCACCCTAGTTATAACACTGACCCTAGTTATAACACTAGTTATAACACTGACCCTAGTTATAACACTAGTTATAACACTGACCCTAGTTATAACACTGACCCTAGTTATAACACTCACCCTAGTTATAACACTGACCCTAGTTATAACACTAGTTATAACACTAGTTATAACACTGACACTAGTTATAACACTGACCCTAGTTATAAAACTGACCCTAGTTATAACACTAGTTATAACACTGACCCTAGTTATAACACTGGTCCTCTGTAGCTCAGCTGGTAGAGCACGGCGCTTGTAACGCCAAGGTAGTGGGTTCGATCCCCGGGACCACCCATACACAAAAAATGTATGCACGCACGACTGTAAGTCGCTTTGGATAAAAGCGTCTGCTAAATGGCATATTATTATTTATTATTATTTTATAACACTGACCCTAGTTATAAAACTGACCCTAGATATAACACTAGTTATAACACTGACCCTAGTTATAACACTAGTTATAACACTGACCCTAGTTATAACACTGACCCTAGTTATAACACTGACTCTAGTTATAACACTGACCCTAGTTATAACACTAGATATAACACTGACCCTAGTTATAACACTAGTTATAACACAGACCCTAGTTATAACACTGACCCTAGTTATAACACAAGTTATAACACTGACCCTAGTTATAACACTGACCCTAGTTATAACACTGACCCTAGTTATAACACTAGTTATAACACTGACCCTAGTTATAACACTGACCCTAGTTATAACACTAGATATAACACTGACCCTAGTTATAACACTGACCCTAGTTATAACACTGACCCTAGTTATAACACTAGTTATAACACTGACCCTAGTTATAACACTGACCCTAGTTATAACACTCACCCTAGTTATAACACTGACCCTAGTTATAACACTAGTTATAACACTAGTTATAACACTGACACTAGTTATAACACTGACCCTAGTTATAAAACTGACCCTAGTTATAACACTAGTTATAACACTGACCCTAGTTATAACACTGGTCCTCTGTAGCTCAGCTGGTAGAGCACGGCGCTTGTAACGCCAAGGTAGTGGGTTCGATCCCCGGGACCACCCATACACAAAAAATGTATGCACGCACGACTGTAAGTCGCTTTGGATAAAAGCGTCTGCTAAATGGCATATTATTATTTATTATTATTTTATAACACTGACCCTAGTTATAAAACTGACCCTAGATATAACACTAGTTATAACACTGACCCTAGTTATAACACTAGTTATAACACTGACCCTAGTTATAACACTGACCCTAGTTATAACACTGACTCTAGTTATAACACTGACCCTAGTTATAACACTAGATATAACACTGACCCTAGTTATAACACTAGTTATAACACAGACCCTAGTTATAACACTGACCCTAGTTATAACACTAGTTATAACACTGACCCTAGTTATAACACTGACCCTAGTTATAACACTGACCCTAGTTATAACACTAGTTATAACACTGACCCTAGTTATAACACTGACCCTAGTTATAACACTAGATATAACACTGACCCTAGTTATAACACTGACCCTAGTTATAACACTGACCCTAGTTATAACACTAGTTATAACACTGACCCTAGTTATAACACTGACCCTAGTTATAACACTAGTTATAACACTGACACTAGTTATAACACTGACTCTAGTTATAACACTGACCCTAGTTATAACACTCACCCTAGTTATAACACTGACCCTAGTTATAACACTAGTTATAACACTGACCCTAGTTATAACACTAGTTATAACACTGACCCTAGTTATAACACTGACCCTAGTTATAACACTGACCCTAGTTTATAACACTAGTTATAACACTGACCCTAGTTATAACACTGACCCTAGTTATAACACTAGTTATAACACTGACCCTAGTTATAACACTGACCCTAGTTATAACACTGACCCTAGTTATAACACTAGATATAACACTGACCCTAGTTATAACACTGACCCTAGTAATAACACTGACCCTAGTTATAGCACTGACCCTAGTTATAGCACTGACCCTAGTTATAGCACTGACCCTAGATATAACACTAGTTATAACAATGACCCTAGTTATAACACTGACCCTAGTTATAACACTGACCCTACTTATAACACTGACCCTACTTATAACACTGACCCTAGTTATAACACTGACCCTAGTTATAACACTAGTTATAACACTGACCCTAGTTATAACATGACCCTAGTTATAACACTGACCCTAGTTATAACACTAGTTATAACACTGACCCTAGTAATAACACTGACCCTAGTTATAACATGACCCTAGTTATAACACTGACCCTAGTTATAACACTAGTTATAACACTGACCCTAGTAATAACACTGACCCTAGTTATAACATGGATCCTAGTTATAATTGCCGGAGAAGCCGGTGTTTGGAGGATATATTGGCATGGGTGTTGTTCGTCGAGGGCCGGCAAACTGTGCCAATATATCCTCCGAACACCGGCTTCGAGGGCATTATCACTTTTATACAATGGGTTACCAACATATTCAAATAGTGATTTACAGTACATATTTTAATTAAAAACGTTATTTTGGGGTCCTCCCGAGTTGCGCAGCAGTCTAAGGCACTGCATCGCAGTGCTTGAGGCGTCACTACAGACCCAGGTTTGATCCCAGACTGTGTCGCAGCCGGCCGAGACCGGGAGACCCATGAGGCGGCGCACAATTGGCCCGGCGTCGTCCGGGTTAGGGGAGGGTTTGGCCGGCCCGGGATGTCCTTGTCCCATCGCGCTCTAGCGACTCCTGTGGCAGGACGGGTGCATGCACGCTGACACGGTCGCCAGTTGTATGGTGTTTCCTCCGACACTACCAATTGGATATCACGAAATTGGGGAGAAAAAGGGTTAAAAAAATATATACAGTACCAGTCAAAAGTTTGGACACACCTACTAATTCATTGTTTTTTCTTTATTTTTACTATTTTTACATTGTAGAATAATAGTGAAGAAATAACACATATGTCATCTTGAAATAACACATATGGCATCATGTAGTAACCAAAAAAGTGTTAAACAAATCTAAATATTTTATATTTGAGATTCTTCAAATAGCCACCCTTTGCCTTGACAGCTTTGCACGCACTTGGCATTCTCTCAACCAGCATCACCTGGAATGCTTTTCCAACAGTCTTGAAGGAGTTCCCATATATGCTGAGCACTTGTTGGCTGCTTTTCTTTCACTCTGCCGTCCAACTCTTCCCAAACCATCTCAATTGGGTTGAGGTCGGGGGAATGTGGAGGCCAGGTCATCTGATGCAGCACTCCAGCTCTCTCCTTCTTGGTAAAATAGCCCTTACACAGCCTGGAGGTGTGTTGGGTCATTGTCCTGTTGAAAAACAAATGATAGTCCCACTAAGCCCAAAACAGATGGGCTGGCGTATCGCTGCAGAATGCTGTGGTAGCCATGCTGGTTAAGTGTGCCTTGAATTCTAAATAAATCACAGACAGTGTCACCAGCAAAGCACCCCCACACCATAACACCTACTCCTCCATGCTTTACGGTGAGAACTACACATGCAGAGATCATCCATTCACCCACCCCGCGTCTCACAAAGACACGGCGGTTTGAACCAAAAATCTCACATTTGGGCTCATCAGACCAAAGGACAGATTTCCATTGGTCTAATGTCAATTGCTCGTGTTTCTTGGCCCAAGCAGCTCTCTTCTTATTATTGATGTCCTTTAGTAGTGGTTTCTTTGCAACATTCATTTGGGCTGCAATTTCTGATGCTGGTAACTCTAATGAACTTATCCTCTGCAGCAGAGGTAACTCTGGGTCTTCCATTCCTGTGGTGGCATAGAGCTTGATGGTTTTTTGCGACTGCACTTGAAGAAACTTTCAAAGTTCTTGAAATGTTCCGTATTGACTGACCTTCATGTCTTAAAGTAATGATGGACTGTCGTTTCTCTTTGCTTATTTGAGCTGTTCTTGCCATAATATGGACTTGGTCTTTTACCAAATAGGGCTATCTTCTGTATACCCCCCCTACCTTGTCACAACACAAGTGATTGGCTCAAATGCATTTCCACAAATTAACTTTTAACAAGGCACACCTGTTATTTGAAATGCATTCCAGGTGACTACCTCATGAAGCTGGTTGAGAGAATGCCAAGAGTGTGCAAAGCTGTCATCAAGGCAAAGGGTGACTATTTGAAGAATCTCAAATATAAAATATATTTAACACTTTTTTGGTTACTACATGATTCCATATGTGTTATTTCATAGTTTATATGTCTTCACTATTATTCTACAATGTAAAAACTGTAAAAATAAATAAAAATAAAGATAAACCCTTGAATGAGTAGGTGTGTCCAAACTTTTGACTGGTAGTGTATATCAAAAATATTTGGATGAATTTATTCATACTATTTCAACCTTCCACAAGATATAGTCCCGACACAAATCTAGCGTTGCTACCCTAGCCGGCTGGTCGTTCGTTCTATCGGTTCGGTTGCCAGAGACACGACCCAGTCGTTCAGTCTTTTTGTTCTGTATCTATCCAGTCGTTCGTTCTAAATGTTCTATTGCCATACTGGCTGGCAACGTTCTTATCCATTGCTTGCTAGCTAGCCAACAACGGCTAACTTACAGTCACGTCAAACAGTGCAGCCAGAATAACAACAAAGTAGCTGCATTTGCATTTGTTTAAGCTGTTTTCTAGAGACATTTATTTAGAGACATCCATAACAATGAGCTAATGATACACTGTTTCACCTGGCATAGAAAATGTGCTCTCTCCTCAGGACACTGTTTTTCAGAGGAGCTAGCCAACAACACAGCTAAAACAATCACTTCAAACTGAAGCTGGAAAGACTGCAAACTAGCTGCACTTCGTTTTGTTTTACCTTTCTATTGACATTTCTTTGTATATATCCATACAAATTATGCTGATTCGGGATTTCGATTTGCTGAGAAAAGCTGCTTGCTGCATCCCGACTCCCGACCCCAATACGTTCATTACTATAGGACACCTGGAGATAGAATTTCAATAGCCTACTGAAACAATGTTATAATGTCAGAGAGACAGCAAGGTTTATACAAATCTCCGCTATTGAAAACCAATTGCTAGTCTAAAAGAAATGGGAGATAATGTCTAGATGCTTTTTATAGTGGAGATCAAGTTTATAAAGTGCCTGGCAGAGCTGATGAGACAGTGGATTGCGCAGTGAGATGGAACAGAGTAAATAGGCATTTTAACATCATAGATTTAGCTGGTGGTAACTTGTGGCAGGAATGCTGTTGTAACCAATCAGCATTAAGGATTAGACCAACCCGTTGTATAACACTAGTTATAACACTGACCCTAGTTATAACACTGACCCTAGTTATAACACTAGTTATAACACTGACCCTAGTTATAACACTGACCCTAGTTATAACACTAGTTAAAACACTGACCCTAGTTATAACACTGACCCTAGTTATAACATTAGTTATAACACTGACCCTAGTTATAACACTGACCCTAGTTATAACACTAGTTAAAACACTGACCCTAGTTATAACACTGACCCTAGTTATAACACTGACCCTAGTTATAACACTAATTATAACACTGACCCTAGTTATAACACTAGTTATAACACTGACCCTAGTTATAACACTGACCCTAGTTATAACACTAGTTATAACACTGACCCTAGTTATAACACTGACCCTAGTTATAACACTAGTTATAACACTATTTATAACACTGACCCTAGTTATAACACTAGTTATAACACTGACCCTAGTTATAACACTGACCCTAGTTATAACACTGACCCTAGTTATAACACTGACCCTAGTTATAACACTGACTTTAGTTATAACACTAGTTATAACAGTGATTTTCCATGTTCTAGGCCTGCCTTTCACTCCCTTCTCTTTTGTTCTCTTCTGTGATCGTCACAGACCCCTTTGCGTGGGTGGACCCTGCTCTTTTGACTCATAACACAATTGCATTTTCAGATGTCCTCTCATATGGAGGGCCTGTCACTGGATCAGTCTGAGGGGAAGGGATGCAGCGCTCACACACATTGGATGCGCCCCATATGGCACCCTATTCCCTATATAGTGTACTACTTTTAACCAGAGCCCTATGGGAATAGGGTGCAATTTGGGATGCAGCCAGTGTCCATATGGCCTGTTGGTGCCTTAGTGATATCTAGAGGTTACCCCTGAAGCTGTTGTACATATTCAGCAATTCTCCATGTGTTTTTCTGTCTTGGCCGAATGCTATTTTTATGCTACTCAACCCTGGTCGTTGACATGACAGGGGAAAAAATGCCTGCTCATAATGAGAAATGAGGATGGTGTGACGATGTTGATGAAGTATAATGTATTAATGGACCTAACAGGTTTGATATAAAGTTAGTTCCTCAGCAGCAACCTTGTGGTCTGTCAGACTCATTGTGGGAGCGTCTAGAGCTTTTAAATGTATTCGGACAAGCACAACAGACATACAGCATAGAGATGCAGGTTTAGGTATTAAACCTGGTTTGATGCCACTTGTGTGTGGACGTCTGTTGTTGTGTTTTGTCATAATGTCACTGTAATAGGAAAATATGATATACACACATCCAATCTCCCTGAGCAGGTGCTGAATATGAAAACAAATCGAATAATTGTGAAACGTGACACTGCACAGTGAAATCTATGCTACCATATCATTTATGGTATCATAATGTTAAATGTCTAAGCCATGGGATATTTCACACATCCACCCTCCAACTGATTTCCCCCCCTGTGCTGTGTCCGTCTGCAGAACTATCTGGTATGAGTTGCATGCACGTGAGTGGCCTTATAAGAACCAGCCAGCAGAAGTTATCATCTGGCAGGTGGGCAGCGGAATGAAGCCCAACCTCACCCAGATCGGCATGGGCAAAGAGATATCGGTAAGTGTTGCTCATATACAGTAAACTGTACCACACCTGGCTATTTCTGGTAGAAGTCGCTCACTAGTTGTAGGTGAACATATTTGATGTCCATGGGTAAAGATACTGTATATCCTTGAGTGGTGTTCTTCATAATACTGCAGTGGTGACTATCTTTCTTCACATAACTAAACACCATACCTGGTAGTTTCAGGTCTGATCTGCATACATATCAATTTACAGGTGTTCAGAATGTGCATCTTCATACATGCAATGAGACTAAATCCTGCCTGGGATGTTTTTTGAGTGCTCAATTGGCTTTTTGTTATTTGTGTTTCCTGAACCACTTCACAAAATAATTTATCTCACAGGGAAAAATACGGTTGTTTGAATCCGGTGGCATTCATCCATTTGTCCAGTTCTCCACGCAGGTCTCTTTCTCTCCTGTTTTTCCTGTGTTTGCCTGGGTCTCTAAAGGGGGTCTGTCTGGCTCTCCCTCCCTAGGACATCCTGCTCTTCTGCTGGGCGTTCGAGCAGGAGGAGAGGCCCAGCTTCTCCAAGCTGGTGGATCTGCTGGAAAAGTTGCCAAAACGGAACCGCCGCCTTTCCCACCCAGGGCACTTCTGGAAGTCAGCTGAGTATGTCAAATGAGACTAAAAAACAACAAAGTAAACCTACCTAGACTATGTATCCTTATGGTGTGTGTGTGTGCGTGTGCGTGTGCGTGTGCTTGTGTGTGTGTGTGTGTGTGTGTGTGTGTGTGTGTGAGAATAGGTGCAGTTGACCAAGACCCCCTGAACCTAGACATCTCAACATCCTCTGAACACATATTTTGGGTTTATTGTTTAATCACGTGGAAGATGTGTTTTATTTCATTGCTCAAATGACCTGTTCAGTTTGTTGGTTGGTTTCTTTATTCTGGAATGTATTTTTCTCAATGTCACTTGTTTTAATGAGAGTTTGTGTCATGTCTCACTTCGTTGTGTACGGAAAATGCATCAGAATGAAATAGTTTTTTTTAGAATGAATGTAATTATTTTATGAATTGTGAAATGTACATTTTTAAGTAATTGTCTTGGCATTTCTCATCTGTCAACTGTCTCTGTTATTTGTCAGTATTCCTCATGTTCTCTCCTGTTTGTGTTCTCTTCATGTTTGTCTCAAAGCTTTATCTATCTTCATTATTCACTATTGAATGTGAAGACTCCACTCCTGTCACTTGTAGGGCTGGATGACACTTCAGTACATTGGTAGGAAACTGTCCTGTGCTTTGATTATTGCCTGTGAACACTGTTGAGGATGCGTAAAAAATAATTGCATCCTATTCCCTACATGGACCTGTCAAAAACGTTAAAGGTAGTGCACTAGATGGGAAATAGGGTGAGAGATCTTTGAACAACAGCCTTTTTTTCTCAGCTCTGGTTCAGTCAGTAGTAGACCTACATTGACTGACTAGAAGTCTCTCACTAATGTTAAAACGCTGACACTTCAAATGTATCTCATTACTTAGTATGAACGTGCTTAAACACTTTGGACAAATGCTGTGCCTGAGAAATAGGTGTATAGTGGTTACTTTAGTGTTTTATCGCAGAAAAGTAAAAAGATGTATAGCTAGCTAGCTAAGGTCACCACCTACTTCCAGTAATGATGACACAAACGATTTTAATGATGACACAATCGATTTTAATGATGACACAATCGATTCCCTTGAGGAATTTGTCAGCCCTATAATTGACAAAGCACTTTCTGGACAGACACCATGACACAGTCTACTAACATGATCTGGCCATTTCTATCTTATATTTCACAGCGATATTTGAAAAACATGCTAGCTAGAGTAGAGTCAGACTGAATCATATCATTATGGATGAAAACCAGTGTCTCAGTAAGAACTGCATAGCTGCTGCTTTGGACGCTGTACAGCCACGGCTTAGATGCAGACAATCCAATCCTGTATAAAGCCCTTTCTACTACACTGTATTATACAGTAAAATATCCACCAATGTTGGAAATGCATACAAACAAATTGCTGCTGTTTTTTGGAGTACATCTGTCTATTTTGGAATTACTGGAATTCAGATATTGTACATGGGTCATCTATATTTGTACTGTTTACAACTTTTAAGTGCATGAAATGGACTACAAAGGATCTATTCTCGTTCTTACGATACAAAGTTGACTTTCAGCTCTATATTAAGTATATGATCACTGGGGTATTTTCTGATTGAACTGTTGTCAGCATAGGACCACCAAAGGATGCTGTGACAACAGTTAATAAGACTATACAGCCTGCTTTGTAAAAAAGGAAATGTTCAAAAGCGATGTTTAAGAGAATGATTGTAATATTATATTTGCACAGTATAATCGTGAAGGGAAATAACTAATTGTGCTGGAAAACCAATCAACAGAAAAACCAATCAACATTTAGTGCAAAGTGTACATAACTGATTGTAGACCTCGTTTTATCGTCAGTTGCCGTAAATCAATATTCCATGTGAACTCACTACAGCAGTTTGTGTACAGGATTTCTTACTTTATGAATGTCTGAATTGTGTTGTGGTTTTGTTGTATATTTTTGTTCATTCAGATTAATTTTTCTCCATATACCTTCCTATATTACGTAAGCATTGATGTTTATTTTCTGATTAAATCGTTGTATTGTAGAGTATAGCTCCAAAAGCTTGTATTTATCGATGCCTTGTTGTCCATGGCTCAGTGACTCATCAGAAGCTCTTTATTTGCACTCATCTTCTACGAAAAAGTATGACAATAAAAATATGTTTTGATTTTGGATGTTTTTTTGTTCGTTTTTACACATCTTTTATCGTACCCTCTTCTCTTTTATATGTTTTGCACTTGTTACTTTGAAAATGTTTTACACACCCTTGCACAGAACTTTATTAAAGAGCAACGGCCCTAAAAACAAACTTCTCTTTTAGAAAACAGCCTATGTGGCATCGATATTTATTCTACTGTCAAAATTGACTACAAAAGTGTAAATAGGATAAAGTCAGTCTCGTCCAAAACTGAGTTTTGTGAGACTTGTGATCGTGACTGCATCACAACGTAAATGAAGGTTGGGTTTATTTCAATGCTGCCCACATGCCCACAGCTGGCATCACACAAGTAATCATACATTCGTAGTACAGCTGCATGCGACCCGATTGTAATGCCTGTGGTAAATTTGACTTTGAATATCCCAATGGGGTTAGTTGGGGATCATCGGTAAATTACACAATGTACATGGAACAATGTTAAATTACAAAAGCTCCAAATTTCAATGACCTAAAAACCTCAAACCAACTATAAATTGTAGAAATGTATATACAAATATTGAAAGCATTTAATGAGAACTAAAACGTGTGCAACATGAAAATAGTCTCATTTACATTGTGTAATTTACTGGCGGTCCCTAACTAGCCCCAAAGATAGGCTATCCAAAGTCAAACCAACTTTGCCACGGTCGCACAACAGCTGGCTGAAGCTAATTGGCGTAAGAATTTGGCAAACTCTTCCCACCTGCGAACATACACACGAGACACCAACATCAAACCACACCCCCAAACCAACTCTCGCTTGAATTCAGTCATGGCCGCTAGCATTTCTTAATGAACCAAAATCTAATATGATTCCAAATCAGGAAGTTAAGCCGTCCTTTAAAACTGAACCTAAAGTCAGTTGCTAACCTCAAATCAACTGACTTACACATAAAAAGGTATATCAAATCTATAAAAATTTAAACTGAGGCAGTGAAACACAAATCTGGATTAAAGGTACTGTATCAATCAGGAAAGTTTGAGTTACATCAAATATACTGGTGGACAATGTCATCAATCTCAACCAAGAACCCATCAAGAGTCCTTCCCAGTGTTTAAACAGTAACACAATTCAAAACGGTTAGCCTATAGTCAGGTTTTTCACAGACATAACACCTAAACTACACTGAGTGTACAAAACATTAGGAACACCTTCCTAAAATTGAAATGCACCCCCTTTTGCACTCAGAACAGCCTCAATTCGTTGTGGGCATGGACTCTACAAAAAAAATCGAAAGAGTTCCACAGGGATGCTGGCCCATGTTGACTCCAATGCTTCCAACAGTTGTGTCAAGTTGGCTGGATGTCCTTTGGGTGGTGTACCATTCTTGATACACACGGAAACTGTTGAGCGTGAAAAACCTAGCAGCATTGCAATTCTTGACACACTCAAACCGGTGCGCCTGGCACCTACTACCATACCCCATTCAAAGGCACTTAAAACGTTCAGTCACTTAAATATTTTGTCTTGCACATTCACCCTCTGAATGGCACACATACACAATCCATGTCCCAATTGTCTCAAGGCTTAAAAATCCTTCGTTCACCTGTCTCTTCCCCTTCATCTACACTGATTGAAGTGGATTTAACAGTTGACATCAATAAGGGATCCTAGCTTTCATCTGGATTCACCTGGTCAGTCTATGTCAAGGAAAGAGCAGGTGTTGCTAAGGTTTTGTACACTCTATGTACAGTGGGGGAAAATAGTATTTAGCCAGCCACCAATTGTGCAAGTTCTCCCACTTAAAAAGATGAGAGAGGCCTGTAATTTTCATCATAGGTACACATCAACTATGACAGACAAATTGAGATTTTTTTTTCTCCAGAAAATCACATTGTAGGATTTTTAATGAATTTATTTGCAAATTATGGTGGAAAATAAGTATTTGGTCACCTACAAACAAGCAAGATTTCTGGCTCTCACATACCTGTAACTTCTTCTTTAAGAGGCTCCTCTGTCCTCCAGTCGTTACCTGTATTAATGGCACCTGTTTGAACTTGTTATCTGTATAAAAGACACCTGTCCACAACCTCAAACAGTCACACTCCAAACTCCACTATGGCCAAGACCAAAGAGCTGTCAAAGGACACCAGAAACAAAATTGTAGACCTGCACCAGGCTGGGAAGACTGAATCTGCAATAGGTAAGCAGCTTGGTTTGAAGAAATCAACTGTGGGAGCAATTATTAGGAAATGGAAGACATACAAGACCACTGATAATCTCCCTCGATCTGGGGCTCCACGCAAGATCTCACCCCGTGGGGTCAAAATGATCACAAGAACGGTGAGCAAAAATCCCAGAACCACACGGGGGGACCTAGTGAATGACCTGCAGAGAGCTGGGACCAAAGTAACAAAGCCTACCATCAGTAACACACTACGCCGCCAGGGACTCAAATCCTGCAGTGCCAGACGTGTCCCCCTGCTTAAGCCAGTACATGTCCAGGCCCGTCTGAAGTTTGCTAGAGTGCATTTGGATGATCCAGAAGAGGATTGGGAGAATGTCAGATGAAACCAAAATAGAACTTTTTGGTAAAAACTCAACTCGTCGTGTTTGGAGGACAAAGAATGCTGAGTTGCATCCAAAGAACACCATACCTACTGTGAAGCATGGGGGTGGAAACATCATGCTTTGGGGCTGTTTTTCTGCAAAGGGACCAGGACGACTGATCCGTGTAAAGGAAAGAATGAATGGGGCCATGTATCGTGAGATTTTGAGTGAAAACCTCCTTCCATCAGCAAGGGCATTGAAGATGAAACGTGGCTGGGTCTTTCAGCATGACAATGATCCCAAACACACCGCCCGGGCAATGAAGGAGTGGCTTCGTAAGAAGCATTTCAAGGTCCTGGAGTGGCCTAGCCAGTCTCCAGATCTCAACCCCATAGACAATCTTTGGAGGGAGTTGAAAGTCCGTGTTGCCCAGCGACAGCCCCAAAACATCACTGCTCTAGAGGAGGTCTGCATGGAGGAATGGGCCAAAATACCAGCAACAGTGTGTGAAAACCTTGTGAAGACTTACAGAAAACGTTTTACCTGTGTTATTGCCAACAAAGGGTATATAACAAAGTATTGAGAAACTTTTGTTATTGACCAAATACTTATTTTCCACCATAATTTGCAAATAAATTCATAAAAAGTCCTACAATGTGATTTTCTGGAAATGTTTTTCTCATTTTGTCTGTCATAGTTGACGTGTACCTATGATGAAAATTACAGGCCTCTCTCATCTTTTTAAGTGGGAGAACTTGCACAATTGGTGGCTGACTAAATACTTTTTTCCCCCCACTGTATGTGTGTAAATGAGATGAGTTGGAGATAATTTACACATTCCCCAGACATGAATATTTTGTATTAAGCAAATTGGCAGCAACAGTGTGTTTGCATGGATCTCTTTATGTCCGTAGGGACTTGGAGGGTTGACTATATGCCAGGATCCTCCTTTACGTATCCCAGCATTCACACAGAATTGATCATTCTACTAATTGACACTTGCAGTCGTATTTTGATGTATTTTTTGGCCAAAGATTCCTGCATGCCCTAGGGGAACGTTGGCACACTGATGATGCTGTCTGTGTGTGTGCGAGCCTCGCTTGCTGCCTCTGCTTTATGCCAGTGTGTGTGTGTGTGTGTGTGTGCGTGTGTGTGTGTGTGTGTGTGACTCACAGACTGAGGAAGGAGAGGTAGAGGGGGGGGGGGAAAGGGGAAAGGGGGGCCGGGAAAAAAAGGGGGGAAAAGGAAAAGGGGGGGGAAGGAAAAAAAAAAGGGGGGTTAACCCCCCCCAAAAAATTTTTTAGGGGGGGAGGGGGGGGAAAAACCCCGCCTTTTTTTTTTGGGAATTGGAAGAAAAAAAAGGGGTTTTTCGGAAAAAAAGGTTTTAAAAAAAAAAGAATTTTGGGTTTTTTTTAAAGAAAAAAAAAATTTTTAAAAAAGGAAAAAAAAATTTTTAAAAATTTTAAAAATTTTTAAATTGGAAAGTTAAATTTTTGCTTTTTTTTTGGGGGGGGAAAATGGGGGGGGTTTTTTGGGGGGGTTGGGGGTGGGGGATTTTTTTTAAAAAAGGAAAAGGGGGGAAAGGGGGGGGGGGGTTTAAAAAAAAGGGGGGGGAAAAGGAAAAGAAAGGGAAAAAAGGGGGGGGAAAAAGGGGGGCCGAGGGTGGGGGGAAAAAAAAAAGGGGGGAAAAAAAAAAGGGGGAAAAAAAAAAAATTTTTGGGGGGAAAAAAAGGAAAAAAAAGTGGGGAAAGGGAAAGGAGAGGGGGGGGGAAAAAAAAAAAAAAAAGGGAGGGGGGGGGGGGGGGGGGGGGGGGTTTTTTTTTGGAAAGAGGGAAAAGGGGAAAAAACCCCCCAAACTAAAAAAAAAAAAAAAAAAAGAAAAAAAAAAGAAAAATTTTTCCCCAAAAAAAAAACCCCCCCCCCCCAAAAAAAAAAAAAAAGGGGAGGAAGAGAGGAAAGGGGAGGAAAAAAAAGAAAAAAGAGGAAAAAGGGGGGAAAGGAGGGGAGAGGGAAAGGGGAAGGAAGAGAGGAGGAAGGGGGAAAGGGAAGGATAAAGGGGGGGGAGAAAGAAAAA